GCAGGGGCAGGGGCAGGGTACAGAGGGGAGAGGCAGAGGGTGTGGGGGAGGGGAGAGCTCCTACCCAGCCCCCTCTGAACGGACACAGAGTCCTGGGGTCACCTGGGCGGTCATTTTTACGGTCACAGTGGCCTGGCCTCTGATCTTAGGATGCTTAGCTCAGTGACCCCACTCTCCCCGACAGCCTCCCCGCCTAAAGTAATGATGGGCGATCTCTGAGCCGGAAGACGCCCATGGCCCCCGGGGGCCCGGCAGGCCAGCCAGGCGGGGGTGGAGGGCGGAGGGTCCGCTCGACTGGCCAGCCAGTCCAGGTTTCAGTAGGAAACAGGAGAGATGGTGACCCCCGTGTCTTTGGGCCCCTTCTCGCTCCCTCCGTGCCCTCCCCCATCTCTGCCCGCCCCTCTGGGGCCTGAGACCAGGGCTGGCCGGGCCAGGTCAGGTGGTGCTGGCCGTAGGCTGTCGTGGAGGAGGCTGAGTTGGGCCTCCTGTCCCGCAGGCACTCCGGCTGCCCACTGTCACCGCGGTGGCCGTGCCCGCTGGCTACGACTGGAGGGACATCGTCAACTATGTCATGGACCATTTTGACATCGAGATCACCGGCGGCCTTGGGCCCTCGATGGGGAAGGTAAGGGGCCAGCTGTTGCTCCGAGTGGCCAGGGGTGAGGGCTGGCCACGCCTGCCACGGAAGTTACATTCTCCACCCCCACATGGAGCGCCACATGCGCCAGGCCCAGGCCGAGGTCGTCAGTCATCGGTTCCCCAGGACGGCAGGGGCACCCACACGGGAACATCCTCCTCTGAACCCCAGGGGTTTTGCAGGGGGAGCTGGGCGAATGAATTCTCCTGCCCCCTTTCGCCCCAGCCTGGTGAGGTTGTGGGGTGTGGCCCCTCCGATTCCACCCAGAATGTCCTTCCCTCCGAGCGGGCAGACCAGGCTGAAGGCGCCAGGCCTGGGTCTGGCTGTGCCCACTGAGTGGGCGATTCTGAGTGACCTGTAACTGACCGTCATCCTGACCTTCCTTCTGGAGCTCTGTGCGTGCGGAGGGAAGAGAGCCACCCCTGCCTGGGTCTGGGAGGGAGGGGGGCTCCCTGTATAACTGGGGGAAGCTCTCGGTGCCGGGGTGGGGGGGGGACCTGGCTCTGCCTAGACCTCACTCAGGGTGGGGCTCACATCTGCCCCGGACCCTCCCCCACCCCTGCAGGTGCTTCGCATCGGCCTGCTGGGCTGCAACGCCACCCGGGAGAACGTGGACCGAGTGATCCAGGCCCTACAGGAGGCTCTGCAGCGCTGCTCCCGAAACAAGCTGTGACCTGGCTGCCTGTGTCCCGCCCTCCCGGAGGGGCCGGCCGAAGGCACCAGGAGCAAACAGACTCTGCTGTGGGTCAGGGCCCCCGGGGGGCAGGAAGGCTGCCGTCCCGGCCCCTGGAAGTCCTTCTCCTTTCGAGCGGCACCTCCTGGAAGCGGACCACGTGGGCTCGGGACCCACGGCACCTCCCAAATGAGCTGCAACCCCCACAGGCCCCTGGCAGGTGGACACTCAATAAAGAATCGTCGGTCATCTGTCCTCACTGTGTGTAGGGTGGGCGGCGGAAGAGTCTGGCCCCTGACTGTGCCCTCATGGGGGTTGCTTGGGGGCAGTTCCTTGCTTAGGGCCTCCCCAGGGCTGGAAAACAGTGTGTAGGGGCCCTGTCACCATACCCCCTGCCCCAGATCTCGCACCTGCAAAATACCGCACCCCCCACACCACCAGGGCACCCCCCATGACCCACAGGGCTTATTACTCATGACTTGTGATCAGAGTCACAGAGATTAAGGCGCCAACATGCCTGGAGCACACAGCCAGGACTTGACCTGGGAAGACTGAAGGTCATGACGTAGGCGCACGGGCTTCCACATGTGCTGAGAGTCTGGGGGCCTCAGATGCATATCCGAGCGTGGCCTCTGCACCCCGACCCCTCCCTGTTCTTGGCTTGGCCCCCTCTGGCCCTCTGGCCCTTAACTGCCCCCTTACTTGGGGTTTCTGCCCAGGCGCCCTTAGCTTCTCCTAAGACTTCTGGAACATGCAGCCTCGGCTCTACTCGATCACAGCTGCACCCGTGCCTCCACATCCTCACTGGTCCTAAGAGTCCCCGGAGGAGGGCCTCAAGCGGAGGTGGACACCCATAGCCCGTGACCTTGTGTAGGGCAGGGGTCGGCCTGGCTCGGCCCCCGTCACTCACCCAGGTGCCGGCCGGCATGGTTGAGTGCGCTGGGGTCGTGGGGGACGTCTGGAGGCCGCTGGGGTCACGGGGATGACCGGAGGCCGTCCGCCCCGTGAGCTCACGGACACCAGGAGAGACGCACACGGGAGCTGAGGGGACCGAGGGTCTGAATCCAGAAGTGGAAGGTGGGTGGAGGGAGGCTCTTCCAGAGAAGGCTGGACAGGGCCGTGTGGGCCACCTTGGAGACGTGGCCTTTGTCCCAACAGCAGCCCTGTCCTGATTGGGTTTTTCCTGCAGCAGACATGGGGATGAGAAAGGAATCCCCATCCGGTGGCAGGTGCCCTGTGCCCCCAGCCGGTCAGTGCCCCCACCGGACCGTCAGCACAGACCAGCTTTGTAGGTGTTTGCGTGACATAGTCCCTATTGTGTCTGCTGCCTTCGTTTAACACTCTTGATGGTCACGCGTGTTGCCGTGGGGACGCGGGGACACTGTCTTCCTTGCTGGTGCTTTTCCCTTGTACGGATAGATCACAATCTGTTTATCATCCGCTGTGAAGGGACCTTCCCGTTGGGGACTATTATGAATAAGGCTGTGATAGACTTTCCTACACGTGGCCTTGCACAGACACACGTGTTCACTGCTCTTGGGAAAATAACTACGAGGGAATCGTGGGGTCCCACCGTAACCCTTCAGCTTTATAAGACGCCACAAAACCCTCTGAAGTGCTCCTAACATTTTACATCTTCACCAGAAGCATCCGAGAGTCCCAGTCCCTCCACAGCCTCACCGATGTCTGGTGTTGTCTTCTTGTCTAGTGGGTGTGACGGCGCACGTGATTTGGTTTTCATTTGCCTTTTGCCGATGACCGATGATATCGAGCATCTTTTCACGTGCAGACTGGCCACGTGTGAGTCTTCTTGTGAGACTTGTCGGCTCAAGCATTTGTTCCTATTCCTTGATTGTCCTCTTTTTTATTGTCAATTTATGGTCGTTATTTTTTTTTTAATTTTTTTTCAACGTTTTTATTTATTTT